GAGCAAGAAAAATGATAATCAGATGAAAGACGCAGAGAAGAAGAGTTTGAAGAATGAAATCAATGTATTGGAAGAGAAGTTGAATGCAATGCGCGAACAAAATGATGAGAGAATCAAATTAGAGATTCTTAAGAAAGACAGAAGTGATAGACAACGCAAAGTGGATGAAGTGTCAGAAGTGCACAGCGATGTCATGCAAACTGTCGGTGCCATTGATGGCGAGTTCTACTCTTCACTAGAGAACCATATTATGACAATTAATCAACAATTGGAAAAGAAATTGAATGAAATCTCGAAGAAGGAGAACGAATTGACGTCCGAAGAGACAAAAGTGCAGATCAAGAATAATGAGTTGAAAACGAAAAAGAAAAACGTCAAGGACTTTGAGACCAAAATCAAAGCATTTTGTACTATAGATTCATTTGAGACCAATTTGACTGCCGCTGAAACAGAGCTTAAAGACTTGAGAAATAGTTTCTCTGGAATGGAAAACAACGAACCGTTTCTTAGGGCACAAATCCATTCAATTGAGAGCACCGACTGTTGTCCTGTTTGTGAAAAAAAGACATTCATTCAAAAGGAGAAAATGATTATAAATAAGCAAAAGAATGAATTGAATTCATTGCGAACCGTCTCACAGGACGCCAACGAATACGACAAGAGTTGGGCTGAGATTCACGAATTGAACAAAAAGATCGATTCCATTGATTTGAGTCAAGATTTCGAGTCCGAAAGTATCGACCATTTAAATAAAGATTTGCAGCAAAAGAAAGCAAATTATGACGAAATCGAGTCGAAGATCAATGCGAACCAAAAGATTATTTCTCAACACTCTGACAATTACAACAAAAAGCAAAACTCTTTACAAAGTTGTGAGCGAAAGAAACTTGAGTTAGAAAAACGCGAACACGAGATGACTAACCATAAGACAAAAGTGGAAGAACTCAAGACAGAGATCGCTTCTTTGGACGAGAGTATAACGGATTCACAGCTGAAGGTTATGGAAGTGGAACCAAAAACCCGTGAAATCGAGGCTCAAATCAAAGAGCGAAACAATCAGTTGACAGAAATTGAACAAAAAATTAATGTTAAGATTAATTTGATTAAAGATAAGCAGAAAGATATCGAAAGATTGAATAAAGAGATCGAAACGTATGTCCAAAAAGGAAATTCAGACAAAACGGCTGAATTGAACGCTAAGATGACTGAAAACCAAAAAGAAATGTCAGGTCTGGAGAGCGACAGACAGTCTTTGCGATCAGAAATCAGTCGATTGTTTGCAGAGATATCGGGCGTTGAGATGAAGAAAAGAGAATTGAGTGATAATTTGATGTCTTTCGAACTCCAGACTGAGATCAGTAGTGATGTTCGTCGTCTGAAAGGAGAGGAGGAGAAGATGGGATTCAATAACATATTAGAACTGAAGAAAAAGAAGACTGAATTGCAGAGAGACGTGAAGAACGAGGAGTCGAAAGTGACTCAATCGCTAAGCAAACAGACGCCTATCATTGAAATTATGTCTACTCTGGAAAGGGATGTGATGTCTGAACCGTTCAAAAGCGCTGACATTAAATACAAACAGAAAGCCATTGATTATGCCATCAGTGAGATCGCGGGCGACGACTTGAATAAGTACTACAAAGCACTCGATTTCTCGGTCTCTGAGTTTCACCGCAAGAAGATTGAAGAACTGAATAAATTGATTAAAGGTTTGTGGAGACAGTCCTATAGAGGACTGGACATCGACTACATTAAGTTAGTGACCGACGAGTCCGAGAGGAGCGCTAACGACAAGCGCCGGCATTACAACTATCGGGTGGTTATGGTTAAGGCGAACACCGAAATGGATATGAGGGGCCGGTGTAGTGCCGGGCAGAAGGTGTTGGCCTGTCTTATCATACGACTGGCGTTGGCCGAGATCTTCAGCTCCAACTGTCAAGTGCTGGCATTGGATGAGCCGACCACTAATCTGGACTCCGATAACATCGCGTCGTTCGCCACCGCCATCACCGAAATCGTCAAATACCGCAACAAATCCAAGAATACGTTTCAGTTGATTATCATTACACACGACGAAGAGTTCTTGAGATGTCTGGACTCAGTACCAGAGGCGGGTCAGTACTACTATAGAGTCTACAAAAATGATTCCGGGTTTTCCACTATTTTGAGGAAATCTATTAATGATAGCAATGATCACAACACTAATGGAAATTAATGTCCAATTATTGCATACAATGTTTCATTAAATATATGATTGTTTTTTACTGTTAATGATTTATAGTTTTAATTATTCCGTAACTTTTATCACTAAACAAAAAGTTTGTGTTCAGTGAATGCAAAGCCATTGTAATCGACAGCTAATGTCAGCCTTCGTTGTGTTCAATGAAAACATTTTTGAATTATTTGTAAACAAATTCATCACAAATTTGTATTCAATTAAAGTTTTCAATAAAAATTATTTAAAATGTTTCAAATAGTGTCACATTTACTGAAAAATAGTGTCAAATGTGAGACAAACACAGGGTTTGTGCGGCACTTGAGGTCACACCTGAGGAAAGGTGTGGACGAACCCAAGTATTTGGATTATCTGAAGCCACAGATCCCGTACTATCCACTCATAAACATCCAGGTATTTGACTACTTTGCCACACATGCACCACTTGTCTCATAACCTGTTTGTGGCGAACAGGTCCGTGGATACGATTACGTGGTTCTCGAGAGTTATGGCAAATATTTGCACAATTTATTGAACAAATTGGGGGTAAATGTTGTGCAGTACTGGTGTTCACCCCTTCAGTCCATTCGTTACGACTCATTGAGACCGCAGTCGGATGTGACGGACAGCCAATTCATGCTTAATATGTATGAACGCAATGTCCAGATCGAGAACCTGTCCGCTAAGATGGCGCCCATTCTTCTGGAGATTGTCTTGAGTTCACTGCCGGCCGGCGTCCAGATGTCGGCTCACGAACACAACCCATCGCTTCACGAAGAGTCGCGATATATACCGGACCTCCAATTGGCTGCCTTTAAGACAGAACTTCAGGAAATAAAAGGAAATCTCGAGGAAGAGGTGATCGAAGACCCCAAAGCAAAGAAAAAATAATTATTATCTTTAGTTATCTTTTATTTAAATGTAGAAAATAAATATAAAATCTATTAATAGTTCAATAAATGCTTTTAAAACAAGTTAATCCTTAATTAGATTCTTGCAATGATTTGCAATTGTGTTCATGTGATGTCAACAGTGATAACAACTCAAAATGTTTTTGCTTTTTTAGTTTCACGTGATATTCATGTCCTTTGGATTTCAGATGCAATTCATATGCGACACAACCGGGTAATCGTTTATTACAGACATTGCATTCAAAGAGTTTTGAATGATTTTCATCCAAATCTATCTTAGGAACGGGTCTTATATGAGACGGAACTTCACTTTTGTTGAGATATGCGCTCACTATTGCTACCGACGGCTCCAACACCTCTCGAGTCCAGAGTTCGGGTGATGTTGTGTCCAATCGGTAAATATCGGGAACTTCTCGGTCATTGAGTCTTAGGAATCGGTTTCGAATCCATTTTAACTGGTGTTTGACATAACGTTTTGTCACTAATTTCAACGAATCCACGGATTCTCTCAGCATTTGCTCAGAAAAGGGATTCGTTTTCCTCTGTTCTTCAGTCAGAAGTAAGTATTTGTGAAACTCTTTGAAACCAATCGATTGAAAGATTCCTTTCGAGTAATCGGCGGATCTGTTGGCAAATAAACACATTAATAGTAATCATAGTCTTGAATAGTAATCATTAATTCAAACAAATGTCTGAAAGACTCACAAATTCTGTGAAATTCTTTGCTTATTATAGTTGTAGTGAAAGTCTAAGAGTTCGCCGACGAGTCCTCTTTCCATCATTTCGTCCACTCTTTGGTCTAATCTTTGGTTCAAAACTGATTTAAACAATAAATTAGTTATCAATGCATTTGTGCTAAACATTCAGCAATTGATACCATTTTTGTCGCAATCGACCCAAAGAATCACCGAATTCTTGAACCTCAGAGGACCGCCTAATTGTGAGCCGCCTTTCGCTGACTTTTGTTCACAAATTATCTCACTTTTGGTTCTCTTCTTCTGCTGACAGATCTGTAAACTTCGGATCACTTTTCGTCTGTCGTTCGGATGAATCTTAAGCGCACTCTTCGGATCCAATTCCTCCAGAATTCTGTGAAGTCTTGCATTCGATATGTGTTTAAAACTCTCGGAATATATCGGTTCAGACATTATCTTCTCTGTCGTCACCTCTTCTTCACTCAATTCACGACATTCTTCGCACTCTTTCTCTCCATCGAAGACCAGAACTGATTCGTCAATCTCTTCGTTAGAGTCGACCAAAACCTCCCAAACAATGGATTCGATGTAATAATTAGTTCCTCCGACAAGAATCGGAACAATTCCTCTGGACATGAGATCATTGATCTGCAAATCAATCAGTCATTCAATTGACGCACAATTGTCTCAACTCTTTGCCATTCATTCAAATCAATACCACTTTTAGGGCTCTGTTTCTGAAGTCAACGACAGAGAAGCGACTCAAAGGGTCCAAGAAGTCAATCAAATGGTGAGGAATGCGTTGTCTGTCATCAGCGGTGGCCTTATTGGTGATGACATCGAGTCCTCTGTAGACTTGCATAGAGTCGGCACTAATTATCTCCGTCTTGAGCGCCAACTTCTCCGACATCTCAACCGACAGCTTAGTCTTCGCACAACCCGTCGCTCCGATGATCACTACTAATGGTATCTCTGTGTCACTCATAGTCTTCAACGCATTCATCACTGGATTGTGTCTTAACAGCAATCGTCTAATGAATTGCATTTCACTTGACTGTGAAGTTCACAACAAAAACACATGTCTTTTGTTATGCATTTCATAACACTTAATTTCTTGCTTACAATTTGGTACTATTTTACACTAAATATACTCAATGCCTAAGCGAATGTACAGTAAAGTAAACTAAACTAGAACTCAGTACATATCGAAAGGGCCTGAAACTATTGCTGAGAAACCTGAATAAACACAATTTGTAAGGTTTTAAATGTCAAAACGTTTTGTTTGTGTCTTTGAGTGAGAAAATGGTTTTAAAGTAACACTCAATTCAGTGATAATCACATCAATTGGTTCAGTCATGACATCGCCGGTAATACTAACGAAAGCAGTGATAGAGTGAGTCATTTGATGCATATATTGTGGCAACCATTGATTGATTGTATGATTTGATCCCAAAGTGATTGCGATTTATACGCAAATACTTTCTTCAAAAGACACAGAAATGAATCCATTTGTACGGAGAGTCACAGCGATTCCAACGATGAGATAGCGATGGCTGTCGATGACCACTGTCGAGAAGAACACCATTTAATGAAGTCTTTAGGACTTCCGACACAATTCTACTCAAATCGTGTATTGAATAAGAGGTCCAAGAAGTCGACGGTTAAGACCAAAACCACTGCTAAGCAGAAGAAGTCAAAAGACGTGATCGCTTTGACGAAGAAGTTGTCGCAATTGTGTCGACCAGAAAGCGATGATATGGTGAAGAATCAAGTGATGACAGCGGATGACGAGTCAAGTGATGATTACGGATGGTTTCAGACCAATCTTAAAGGGACTCAAGCGGTCGACTGGAGTGCCTTAAAGCGAGAGCATCTGTGGATAGATTTGAACGATTCAGACGATGAACAGCAGTCATCACAAGACAAGACACGGCCTGAAGACAAGGATGACGAACAGACCAATACTACTGACGCTAATAATGAGAGTTTTAGATCCACTTCTGGGGCTAAGCGTCTAATTATAAAGTCGTTCGTCAATGACGGCAGTGATAGCGATGACGACCCGCCAGAGGAGAGATACACTCTCATCAAGAGAGCCCATGAATCAGATGCAATGGATTTAAATGAAGAGCCGGTCGCACAGAAATGTGCGGTCAATTTGGAGGCATTCACTGTGTCTGAGAAAGGGGTCAACTATAAGAAACCAAAGTCCAAGTATTGGCACCAAAGATATCGCCTCTTCTCGCGCTTCGATGAAGGGATTCGTATGGACTCCGAGTCCTGGTATTCGGTGACACCGGAGCGCATCGCTGAACACATCGCCCAACGATTTTCGCTCAATAATCACAACTACATTATAATCGACGCCTTCTGTGGCTCCGGTGGTAATACCATTCAGTTTGCGCTCATTTCAGATGCCGTTAAAGTCATAGCCATAGACATCGATGCCGTGAAGATCCATAACGCCAAACATAACGCTCTCATCTATGGTGTCGATCACAGGATTGAATTCATTTGCGGAGATTTCATGGTTTTGGCCAAATCTGGCGCTCTCTTTGGCGACGCCGTGTTCCTGAGCCCTCCCTGGGGTGGCCCCAAATATTTGAGTTTAGATGTCTATACACTTGGTATGATGTCTCCCAGTGGTGCCGATGTGTATAATGTGACCAAAGATCACATCAGTGCCAACATCGGTATACTTTTGCCACGAAATATAGACACCAAAGGTGTTGAACAGTTGGCTGGCGTTGGGAACAGAGTTGAGATCGAAGACAACCTGATGAACGGGAAAATAAAAACAAAAACCGCATATTTTGGTGATTTGATTATTGATAAGTCATAGATCTGAAAATGAATTATTTTTATTTCCACATACCGTACATGTAATGTTGTCCACTATTTTTTGTCCATTAAATGTAGTCAAGTATTTGTTCATTTTTCACAATCAAAATCACTTAAATTTAAATGTTTCCTATTGACAGCCTAAGGCTATTATTTGACTTATTTTTATCTCAAAAATCGTAATTAAATGTTCTAATATTATACCCATTAATCACTAATAATTATTATATTAAACCAATGTTTTGAATAATGTTTATACTACAGAATTACTGTAATACTGTTACCGTAAAATTATTTTTTAAAAGATTAAAATTTATATTTTGAACCTTTGAATTTTGATGAATCCATTCATTGGCAATGAATTCAATTTTGTATTACCTGTAGTAATACTGCCTTACAACACTGTAATATTGAGATTACTGTATGTCTCTATGAGATTAATATTAAATTTAGTAATAATATGGCTAAACTACAGTGTACCGTATATTGTAGTTATTATTAGGAATTGACCGAACAGTACATACTGTACAGAGAAAGTGAATCGCTTTGACAGTGGAAATCTCAAAGTAAACTTTTTTATGTTCAAAATCTGGACTTTAGACTCAAAAAGTGATTGACTGTACATTTTTAAGAATTTTTATCAAATTATTTCAAAATTGATTCAAATAATAACTGTTCCCCGACTCGAAAAACATTAAACTTTTTTATGTTCAAAATCTGGACTTTAGACTCAAAAAGTGATTGACTGTACATTTTTAAGAATTTTTATCAAATTATTTCAAAATTGATTCAAATAATAACTGTTCCCCGACTCGAAATCAATTTGTGGCTATAAATTATAATTATGAAGAGATTGTATGAATCCGAGAGTGAATTAGTTTTGGAGACATTCACTCACAAAAGGAAAAAGTATAAGAAACGAAAGACTAAGTATTGGCACCAGAGATACGATCTGTTCTCGCGTTTCGATGAAGGAATTCGTATGGACTCCGAGTCCTGGTATTCGGTGACACCGGAGCGCATCGCCCAACACATCGCCCAACGATTTTCGCTCAATAATCACAACTACATTATAATCCCCGAAATTTGCCCCGAAATATAGACACCAAAGGTGTTGGCGGTTGGCGGGCATCGGCAACAACGTTGAGATCGAAAATAATATAATACACAACAAAATTAAGACCAAAACTGCCTATTTTGGTGATTTGATCCAATCATAGATGTGTTTCCACGATGGATAACATTATTTTTTATCATTTCAAAGTCTTATATAGTATTATAATTTTGTTATAAAATAACAATTTAATTATTTCTCTACATTTTTATCAGAAAATCTTTTAAATAAATCTTTGTATTAATATTTTTAAAATTTTAAACATTTAAATAAAATCATATTTGAATCATCTCTTAATTCGATGAATCCATTCATTGGTAATGAACTCAATGTTGGCGCCATCCCTGAAGTGTATCATCTCTTGTGTGAACCACTCTTGAGGATTAAAGTCCGGGAAGAAGTGTTTACACTCTCTTTCAAATGATTGTAAAGAATCTGATCCGTGAGTAGCATTTCGGGTGTCA